TATAGCCTCACAAATGTCAAAATTAATAAAAAATTATCTTTGCCTTCCAAGGTGAAACAATCTCCTACTTTCCCAACTTAATATCATTAGATAATCACCCCATAATAGAGTTACCACATTGAAAGAGAAAAGGCATAAACCATAAGCAACACTTTCACTTCTACAACCATATAAAAGGTAAATAATTGCTAATGAGATAGGGATCCGATGAGAAAATGATAACCAAGATTCTTAGGAGCTGCAGTACGCCAAAAACAATGGGCCAGAAACCAAAGGTCGATCCCATATGAACCCTAGGATATCAAGGTTGAGTATAAATGTTATGCAGAATTCTAATAAGTTGAACCAGACATGGTCTCATTAAAAATAGTCTCATTAAAAATAGGAAAGTTGAATTTTATGCTATTTTCCAATGTTCGAAAATTCGACCGCCCAGGCAACTGGAGGCCTCACAGCACTGCACTAGGTCGGGCAATGACCTGAGCGGCTGATTAGTCGCCCAGGGCCCTTTTGGCTCGCAAAAAGTGCCAAGAATATCATTTTCCCCCTTGAAAAGTGGGGAATTAGTATTTGGGGGGTCATTTTTGCCCCCAAAACCCTAGACAACTCCCTTGCCTCAAAAAAAAAAAGGCTCAAAATCAAATGTTTTTTTAAAAGATCATTCCAATTCAAATTTTTCGATTTCGCAAGCAAAATCAAAAGGCATTCAACTCGAAACTTTTTGGGATTAAGGAGGTTGCAAAAGAGAGTTTTAGCAATCAAAAGTGACCAATTCAAGCCTACTTTGTGACTGATGATGATAAAATAGTACATGCTGGGCAGGACTTGACATGAAGTCAAGTGAGGCAGGCTAAGGAAACCCAACTGGAACCCGTGAGGACCACACATTCTCAATCTGAAAGGAAGGGGTCTCAAATCTCAAAGGAAGGTGTCCAAGTTCAACGGGAACAAAAGACTAAAAAGAGTAAGGGAGGAGGAAGTCGGGGCAGAGCTAGAAGACTCAAAAGATACCGATAAAGAAGAACGATATGTATCAGAAAGAACTGATTCTGATGATGGTGGTAGAGCATCATCATCATCATCATCCAATATATTGTTGGTAGTAGACACAAAAGTTGACAATGTTGGACGTGATAAGGAAACCCAAATGGGCCCTCTTTGCATTAAATTTTAATGTTTTGAATGTCTGGAACTTTAGGTTTTGGAACTTTCGAATGTGTTAAACTTTAACTTTCGAACTTTATGTTATGTTATTTGAAATGCTAATGGATGTAACTTTATGTTATGTGAATTTTTATTTTGGCATACATGGCTAATGGACTAAAATTTTGGCACTTTCAATGTTTCATTTTTTAGACATGTAAATTTTAGTTAATAGGTAAATTGGTTTGAAATTTGGAAAAGCACAACCCCTACCCCTTCCCCAACCAAAAAAAAAAAAGCAGTGGCCACCTAGGTCAGTGGATGGTTGTCCCTGTCTTCTTGAACATTGCTATTTAAGTAAGTTTCCTATTTCGTTATTAGATTAGAAGACAGTAGCTGGCATCTTCAAACACTATAAACATAACTAGTTCCTAAATTACAAATAAACCTTTTTCTATTGATCTAAACTACAAAAGAACCCCGTCTCCTAGTTTTAAATAGCTTGATTTTAGGAAGCATAGGGATTATTTGCTTCCAAGCAAACCAAGATTACAATGATTCTACAAAAATAGATGTAGAATGGCCTGGAAAGCTAAAATAGAGCAATAAAATTATATTATTCGCGTTGGTTTTGTCCCACCTTGAGTTGCGAATTTCTCACTAATCATGGTGTTGATTGGATAACCCTAGGTTGTTTGGTATTGAAGCCATCCAATAGTAGATTCTCCTATTTCTCCTAAGGTTCTGATTCCTTCAACAAGGTAGATCTCTTCTTCTCTCCCGTACTGGACACACTATCCCTTCTTTTCCTTCTCCCAACTTTCAAATTTCCTCATCCCTTCTTCACAGTCCTGGCACCCTAAATATCCTACCATGCCTCTCCAATCTTCTGGCCTCCAAACCTTAAACCTCACCCCCAATCTTCTAATCCATACCCCTACCCAACTAACTCTAGATTTTCCTTATCTCAACCTTAAAATCCATCTTTCCACCCTCATGTAATGCTGAAATGATAATTTCTAGCAAGGTTCATCACAATTAAAACTTTGTTTTTCACTATGGACCATCAAAATCCTGAGATTAACCCCTAAACATAGCAGGAACTATATAAAACCCACCCCTTAATAGGCCCTACTCCAAACTAGCAACTTTCTTCCTTCCTCTCAGGGCCCCAATCAACGCCTACAGTATGAACATACACTCGTTCCATCCAAACCTTCATTTGTGATCCCTCGTTAGTCTAACTCCAGCTAATTCTTAACTCCTATACCTTGCTGTCTTCAAGTTCAACATAATTCCATAAAATCCTAAACCCAAGATCTTGTCCTACATCAGAGTCCCTACTCATCCCAGATGGGGCACTTTGGCTTTTGGATGAAGAAGGCGAACCCAAATCTACTCCAACTTACCACCCCCAGAGAAAAGGGAAGCAACTGGAGGTATTAAAGTGGGGGGATTTGGTAGGCAACAGGTGGAATGGGAACCACCATTCCCACAATGTCAACACCAAGTGTCCAACCGATAATCTCAAATGTATTTTGATCAGGGATCAAGCTATAGAAAATGCACATATGTGCTTGGGCTGACAGTTGTCTGATACGTCCATACCATTTAATGCACTGAAATTTGTTCTACTTTCAGCCCATTTAGGATACCATCACATTTATTGACTAGGTTACAAAATTTCAAGTTTCCATGACACAAGGAGTTGGATGTTGAAGGGCGGCAGAAGAAGGGTATACTCAAAGGTGTCTACCTTGGACGCCAAGGCAGTAACTTGACGCAGCAAGCTGCCTTGACACTTCATCTAGGCCTAGGCAGGTGCCTACTGTGTGTGTGTGTGTGTGAGTGCATGCATGCATGTGCGTGTGTGTGTGAGAGAGAAAGAGAGTGAGGAGACAATCAATTGCTCACTGATGGCGTATGAGTGGTCAGATGGGCGAACCTCACCTTGATAGGTTTTTTGGTTTATTGTCATAGAGCAAGGATATTTCCAAAGATGAATGATGTCTCAGACATTGCAAGGCAACCAAAACATTATTTGGTTTGATAAAGGAAGTGGCGGATAAGATAGGGTCACAAAATGTGGCCCAATTCAATATAGATAACGCAACCAACTATATACCTGCTACACGGTCATTGAACACCACACATCCAAAGATTTTCTAGACTTCTTATGCAGCACACTATATCAATGAGACATTGTAAAGACCATCCACAGAGTTAAGAGGAACATGGCAGAGCATAAGAGGCTCAACATGGTGGTTTTACTTTGTACTTATAACTTGAGGCTAAGTGAAAGGCAAAAATTTGCAATTTGTGTAAACGGTTTGAATATTTAGTTAATTTAATGATAGTAAGCTTGTAATTTCAGATTAAAAATTCCAATCAGTGAAGCAGACAAAAACATACTCTAATCTATCAGTCCCTGATGACAGCCATGGAAAGTACTGAACTCGGGGCAAGCCAAGGCCCAAGTCAGAACCTCGTCCTGAATTACTGGTAAAGGATTTCTCCTTGGCTCTTCCCTCGTAAGATCCAAGCATTCCTCTCTCTTCAAAGCTCCCGCAATACACAGAGCATCCTCCAAAACCTATAACCCCTAGCTGGAAGCATAGGAGACATTCCATTCTTCTGTAGATGGGCCATTGCAAGACATCCATGCAAGCAAGCCAACAGAGTGTGGATCCACTTATTCAGTTCCCTCTGTGGAATATAAATGCTTGTCCCCCCCAACAAAGCTATAAGAACTATAAGCTCATCCAAAACTCGACAAAAATAAGATTCCTCCAAAAGTAAGGACACAAAATCACTGTATCCTTCCCTCTCATGGCAAACACCCAGGCACCTAAACCCAAGGTTCCACCACCACTGTAAATAGGGTTGGAAAGGCCCCATCAGACGGTCTGTCCCCACGCTTAATGCCAAAGGCTAATTTGGGCTCCATCTCCAACTTGGAAACAAAATACATTCTTGCAATTCCCCATACACCTTAGTTTTCTTTTGATGGTCCCCATACACCTTACTTATGTTCATTGTTGTGCCCACATTCTAAATTTGATTGTACAAGATAGAAGGGATACATGAGAAACAATTCAAAAGGTAAAAGAATGCATGAAAAAAGTATGTAAATAGATTGTTTATTTCTTTCTCCCAAATGACCAGAGAGACAAATTGCTTCTTGGCATGAGTGGGGACTGCAAGAGAGTCTCAACTCAATAGGGACTATTTTCTACTCTGTGAAACTGGTAACTGTATTGGTTCCCTTGGTAGCACCACTGATGCAACATGATTGATGCCAATCATACTTTCTTCCTGTTTCTAAATACTCCAAAGTGTATCGTAACATACATATTGATTTTGATACTTTTTTCTCAAACTGAGTTGAAATACAGTCGCTCCTTGGGCTCCGTAAAGTAATGGCCCCCACAGACAAGATCCTCCCATAACTTCTAGCAAGTAATGAAGAACTAATTTTAAAGAGACTAATGATAATAATTGTAACTCTCAAATCTGCCCCTTAGGCAATTTTCACAGGAGTACAGGAACAGTCACAGGTGTGTCCAGTTGACGCACCAAACCATGGCTTGTCACAGTCTGGGCAGGGATTGGCAGCATCTACAGATGCCACTCTTTAACATCTCTGTCATAAGGCCCTTCTCAAACTACGACACTGTGTGTGCAGAAAAAAAAGAAAATTACCTTTTTAGCCAAACCACAAAAGCGACACATATATGTAAACATCAAACCACATGATTTGCAGACCATGAGTGGGAACCAAACAAGCAGTAATCTAATGATAGATTCAATAAAACAGACATCAATAAACAACAGAACACCAGGTTCAAAGAATCTACCTTTTGCGGAAAGCGCTCCTCCTGTAACACAACCAGCAACAGCTGTATTTGTGGTGTCATGTTTCGCCCTTGCCTGAAAACGCATCACATAAACTCAACCTGGTTCTTCATCAAAGAAGTATTAATGCTGCAGTAAACAAAAATATTACAAGCCAACTAAGACTTTATAATCAAAAAGAGAAAAACTACAAACCAATCAAGAATGTATAATCCGATGGAGAAAATTAATAACAAACCAACCAAGAACTTGGCTTTACTTTACCTTCTCAATGACACACTCGGCAGCAGAGAATATCAAACCCATCACAGCAAAAGTCTTGGCTGAACTAAGACTCCTCCTACCCATCTGTTTCGTTGTGTAAACAAATTGTTGCCTTGCTGTCATTTCCTCTTGCTGTAGAGGATTGTCTAAAGCTCCAAGAAACAGACCCATAAACAGCCCAAGTCCACCTCCTGTTAGAGAAAATAAAGTACATTTTTATGAACCATAGAAGCCAAAAGGTGAAAACCCAGAAAAATCCCATTGCCCCAATAACAATAACAAAAAACCGAGAAAGAAAACTAAGAGAAGCCAGTCTGAGAAGTATAAAGTTAAGAGATATACAATAAAAGCCCAAAAATCATAGCAATAAGACGTAAAAGCCAAAAATCCTAAAAATTCAGGAAACCCATTGCCCCCCGTAAAAATCCAAGAGGGAAAAAACTCAAATGACATTCTCAGAGAGTAAGATTCAGGAACAAACCGGAGAAAAAAAAAAAGAAGGCAAAAAAACATTAAAACAAATCGAAATTTCGGAAGGAAAAAGTAGTAAAAAAACCAATAAAAAGAACACAAATTTACAGAGGAATTACCCATTACTCCACTGACTACACTTCGAACAGCGCAGTTGTTCCATATGTCTTGGCCTCTGATTTCTTCAACAGTGGGCAAACGCAACGGCTCTATAGGTTTCTCTGCTTCTTTGGGTCTTGGAGCGGCCCCCACTTCTGAATCGGAGGCCGCCATGAAAATTTCTCCCTAAAAGTACACAAAATTAGTGGCTCGTGAATGTCTAAAAGAAGGTATCCAAAAAAATAAAAAAACAGGAAAACCGCTAGGTTTAGGCAATGGTTAAACACCAATGCAACATGAAATGAAGCCAATTTGCTGACAGCAAGAACGTATCGAGAGAGAGAGCCAAGCGCGGCTGCTTCTCTCTTGGGGTTTGTGTTTTCAGGTCAGTAAATGGCGGTGGCCACGACGGTCAGGGCCCGAAGCCCGTTGAGCGCGAATAAAGCTGTCGCGAGCTCACACCGGTTCGCAGGGTCGAGGTAAAAAGCATGTTAGAGTTTTAAGGAAATTTGTGATAAGTGCTCTTTATTTATGCGGTATTAAAAAAAAATGAAAATTATCTAAAATATCTTTTTATTTAAAAAAAAAAGGTTCTAATATACTTTTCTTTTTTTCAAATTTACTTATGCATCTATTTTCTACAATTAGTTCACACATTTGTCTCACGTAACGTGAAAAAATTCGTTCGTGTGGTTAGATGTGATAATATTTTAACATCAATTGATCCCAGTAAATATTTTCATACCAATTAACAGCTAACTTGTGTGAAAATATTCTCATACCTAATTATAAAAGAGAAATTTTCCACGTTAAAGGAGAAATATTTTCATGAGAACCAAACATGCCCTATGAAAACAATTTATATAAGGCTGCAACCTTATACTTTAGAAGTAAAGTGCACCTCAAAAATAAGTTCCAAAGTTGGAAAAGCTTCGAATTGATCATCTTGACTTCAAGATGTATGGATATAAAAAATAAAAAATTTAAGTTTTAAAATAGTGTATTTTAAAACAAGTTATTTAGACTATCTATTTTCAAGGTTTTCAATTGTTTACAAATCTGCTCAATCTGCTCCATTTTCGAATTTTAAATTTCATAATTAGAGTTGAACATAGATTTCAAGCTATTGTAAGGTTTCTAATACCAGAACTACATCTTCCAACAAATTTAGAGATGCACCTTATTTGTATAGTATCAGATGGGCACCTTATACAAACCTCGCCCTTCATTCAATGCCCTAAAATAGGTTTGTGATGCTTCCTAAGACCCACTTGTGTTTCAAGAAGCACCCAATGGGGTACTTGGGGTTTAGGTCCTTGGTGGTCTCAGCATGGAGCTTTACAGACTTTAATAAGTCCACAATGGTGGGAAGCACCCAAGCAGGTGCTGCCATTGCAAACCTCATTGGTCCCTAGTGCGTGATTGGGAATTGGGACCACCAAATAACAATAATAGTAGACTTACGTGTGTTGCACATATAATCGTAAAAAGACCCTACTAGAAGCATCATACAGAATTGTGACGACCCCGCCCCCTGACCTGATAACGTACAAGCCGGAGGGCAATAGAGTGCAGGACCGCGATGTGAGGTGGCAAACGCTACTCAGGTGGGAGTGGCTCAGTGCTTATAAAAGGTGGAATCAAGAGCAAACTATGAAAGAAAAATAAAATCCATTCATCATTAACAAAGATTAGACCAAAATGCAAACTCATTTTCATATACAACCATTCTCCAAAATTTCTTTACAAATAGTTCAAGGCACTAATGGCCCACAAAATACAAGGTAAACAACAACCAACAGCTAAGTGGCACTGCCACCAAACACCTACCATTGAAAGCTTCCAAAGTCCCTTCACCAACTCCAAACTTTATGCGTCTCAACGCACCGATCAACTGCCCTCTCCCTCTAGGGTTAGAAACTATCACTCTACAAGGATGAAAAATGAACAGAATGAGCTAATAGTCATTTTATCTTTAGCAGAACATAAACACCTACAAAGCACATAATGCACACAATAGAAGCTAGAGAGGCCTACTCCTGAAATAGAATCCCCATTGCTTAGGCCAAGCCAATCCTGTAGCTTGAAACTTCTACCTTCATTCAAGACGAAAGACAATGACACATGGGTAACTCACTTTGTACTGTCCTCACACACACACATCCCCAGTGTGTTTTGGGGCTTTCGATAGGCGGTGGCCTTGCAAGACACGACTTTCTCCTTATGCCCTTCGGGTGAGAGGGCGTTACACTACCATTGGATGTCCCTATGCGTAGTGCCTATAACATTTGGGGGGGGGGGGTGACCCTCTCTGTTACTCAGTTTCACCTCCCAACCCCATTCTTATCATTGGGGTCGGGGCACAATCAGTAATTGCTGACATAATAGTGTCCAACTATTAATGGGTGTCCCATTGCATAGCGGTCAGTGTCACAGTATAACGGTATCACAAATATAAAAGAGTATAACAATATCCACTACCAATGGGTGTCCCATTGTGTAGTGATCAGTATCACAACGTTTCACAGTATAACAATATTCACTATCAATAGGTGTCCCATTGCATAATAGTCAGTATCACAATATATCACAGTATAACTGTATCACAGTATAAAACAATATAACAGTACCTACTACCAACGGGTGTCCCATTGCATAAGGGTCAGTGTCATAGTATATCACAGTATAGCAGTATCACAATATAAAGCAGTATAACAATGTACATAAAACATCAAGCTTTAAGTTCACATATATTTTACTATTCCTTTCCAGGCTATTCAGAAGCAATCATAGTATCATAAACGTGCATATACGACATTTCAAGGCAGTTGATTTCATCTCCTTTGTTTAGATTAATCATTACATCACTTGTATAATTCATGCACAATTTGGGGATATACTATTCATTTCATTAGTGGTATACATATATACACACCGAGGCATGGTATCCGATTCATAAAAAATCCCAATTGAATCCCAATATTAACTTAAAACAGACCTGTCAATCATTTATTCAACAAAAATTTTCAGTCACTTGATCAATTGAAAGCGTAGTGCGAAAAAGGGGTTTAGTTCAAAATTTTCTACAATTTCTCATAGGGATGTACAATAATAAACAGGAACGTAATTTTTGATCTATTTAAAATTTAGAGATGGTTCCAAAATCAATTTCACATTAGACGTACATATCTTTCAAATTGGGGTGGTTTGAAAGCGTCTGGATCCCGTTTGACCAATCAAAAGCTCTGTATAATGGATGTATACTATCTGAAATCTGTTGTACATTTGTGACAGTGACATGTCCTATTTAGCAGAGTTAAAATGTCAATCTATTAGGCATTTTAAGATGGTTTCAAAACAAAAGTTCAAGTGAAAATATTTCCAACAAAGTAAGTTTGAAAGCATTTGAACTCCATTTGGTCATTCAAAAGTTCATGATAACAGAAATGACAGTTCTTGAAATTTAGTGAAATCTATCAACAGTGACATGCTCTCACAAATTAATGCATAGCTTTCAATCTAAAAGGAATTTTGAAATAATTTCAACATGTAACTTTAATCATACATAGAGATCTTTCAAATGACAGTGATTTGAGAGAAATTGGACTCAATTTGGTTAGTCAAAACTCATGGCAACATAGGCGACAATTATAATTTTAGAGAAAACTGTTAGCAGTGACATGCTTGCAGAATTGGAAACGTAACTCCTCATTTATAAAGAACTTGTACAAGTTTAAACATGAACATCATAATAGACACATATATCTTTCTAATGGAAGTTATATGAAGTCATTTGAACCTTATTTGGCTATTCGAAAGCTTGTTACAAAAACATGAATATTTTTGAAAATTCATATTGTGCACATGACATGCCTCAAAGAATGCTAAATAACTTTCAATTCACAGTAGATAACATATTGTTTACGACAAAAATCTGACAGATCTTCCAATGAAGATCTCTCGAATTTTAACTCCTTAAACTAATTTAAAAGATGTAAATAAAGTGGTAGAAAAAGTGGGACAGATCGAATTTATATCTGAGGCCAGATTTGCCGGGAAACGAGCATATCTACTCTCAGATTTGTGGCAGAGCTAGCATGATCCAGAGCATTAAAATATGATTTTTAAGACGAGTTAATAGATAAAAAATAAATAAAAGAAGTAAAACAGTAAAAAGAAGAAGAAAGAGAGAGAAAGAAATAATACCAAACCGGGGCAGATGGCTCGAGATTCCTAAGCCTTCAAGGGCTTTTTCGTATCAAAACTGGTCCTCTTTGCCTCTCTGATTTGGATGTTGACCAATAGATCTCTAGTGTAACGGGTTAGATCTAGGGTTGTGTCATAATTCTAGTTTTGATCTAGGGTTTTTCTGCCCTAGGGGGTTAGGACTTTAGGAGGTTAGGGTTTCTCTCTTCTAGGGTTTTCAATCTAGAGATTTTTCTAAAGTTGTTGATCTTTTTCAGGGTCTGGAGGATAATTTCCTTGGTTTTCTAAGGGTTTTATGATCTCCAAAGGTTGAATATGAATTTTGATTTTCTTTAATTTTTTTGGGATTTTTGGGGATTTTTTCTAAATTTTTAAAATTTTTTAAGGTTTTTCCTATTTTTTGTATTTTTAGGTAATTTTCCTAATATCGAGAATTTTTAAGGTTTTTTTGGTCTCTTTTTCTCTCTCTTTTTGGATAGGGAGGGGGGGTATTTATAAGATTCAGTTAGTGATTTTTCCTAAATTGTTTGGAGTTTTTTTGAATTTTTTTTTTTTATCTTGAAGTTTTAGCCTTATCTAATTAAAAGAAACGTGTTTACTACATCATCAGATGCGTTGACTGCATCATCAACTCACGTTTGGGCCTGTCGGGCTTGTTATAGCTCGGCCCATGCCCCGACAATTAGGTCTCACAAGGACTAAATTGTCATTTATTATATCATTTTATCCGTAGGTCCGATTCAAGCGATTCTTGGACTATTGGAAAGCTCTTAAGCTCTACTTAAAATTGGAATAGGATTTGGATAGTTTTGGGGTAATTAAATTGGGTCTACTGGGATAATGTGTTTTAAGGGTTCAGAAAACTATAGAATTAGTCAGATTTAAAATGGGGTGTGTACAGTTGCCCCTATTTGGCACTCATTATCCTTCAAGGGACAGGTGAGTAGCAAAGAAGTAGATACTTTGACATTCTCTATCCTTCGAGGGGCACACCAACTATCCCTCCAAGTCATTACGCTCACCGAGCTCACCCATCTAGGGCATTTTTCCTCCTAGGGTTTTCGGCATAAGATGTCGGTGAGTTGCACAAGCTTGAAACTCGAGTTGGATTTTCTAGCCATGCACTTAACGTCAAGGGTTTTTGTAGTTTGAGTTTTAACTCTGGCATTTTCTTTGATCTCCTTAGGGTTTCCTAAGGCTGTCTATAGGAAAAGGCTTTCTATAGGAAGAGACTTGTTTAGCCGAATCTGAAGTGAGAGACAAGGCAGCAACGCG